CTCAACACTCTCACTCACACAAACATTCCCAACTCACTCACACAAACATTCCCATCTCTCACTCACACAAACATTCCCAACTCTCTCACTCACACAAACATTCCCAACTCACACAAACATTCCCAACTCTCTCACACAAACATTCCCAACTCTCTCACTCACACAAACATTCCCAACTCTCTCACTCACACAAACATTCCCAACTCTCTCACGCAAACATTCCCAACTCACTCATGTAAACATTCCCAACTTTCTCACACAAACATTCCCAACTCACTTTTGGACTTCTAACTCACTCTGACACACACACATTCTTCACTCACTCACTCACTCACTCACTCACTCACTCACTCACTCACACAAACATTCCCAACTCACTCTCACACAAACATTCCCAACTCACTCACACATACATTCCTCACTGACTCACCCCTTCATTGATGACTCGGACAAACATTCCCCACTCATGCATTTATTCCTAACTCATTCACATTCCTCATTCTCACAATCCCCACCCAATCACTCAAGAACAACAAAATTACATGTGTAAAGCGCCTTTCACTTTTCTCTGGGCGCCAGACAATCAGTATTTCAGGCCAAACCTGAGGATCGGGGAGGATGGAGCACAGGGGTGGCAGGAGGGTGACTGTAGGCACATTTGAAGAGGAGGGTCTTGAGGCAGATCTTGAAGGAGGCAAGGGAAGGGGCGAGGTGGAGGGACAGTGGGATGGAGTTCCAACGTGGTTCCCGCACACGTGGTAGTGCGACGCGTGCGCAGTGTCGGTTTCGGGCCGGGGCTCAGCGACTCCCAGCCCCGGGCTGCGTGCGCTGGCGGGGCCCGGGCCATGACGATGAAGCCGGGGATGGTGAAGCAGCTGGGAGAGGAGGCCGAGGATTCAACTGCGGGGACACAGGAGCCTGGAAGCGGGGCCGAGCTGCTGGCCGTGGGCTCCAGCAAAATGAATGGTGGCGATAACCCGGGGCCGAGGGCAGACGAGCGCCGGGGAGCCGGTCTCGGTTGGGGCCGAGGCGAGAGCGGCGCTGGACGCGAGGAGAGTGTTGCCGTGTTGTCCGGGCCGGACGGCTCTCTCTGGGGTAAAGTCAAGAAACCGCCGCCGACACCGCAGGCGCCGGGCTCGGGGCCCAGTCAGAGCGCCCGCCTCAAACACATTGTGTTATTGCAACTCGACCTGATCGAACAGCAACAGCAACAGCTGCAGCTGAAGGAGAAGGAAATCGAGGATCTGAAGACGGAGAAAGAGACGGTAAGAGGCTAAGATGGCGGGCGGGCGGCGGTTGGTGTCCGTTCTCCGCCGACCGTCCGCGGGCAGTAAAATGGCGATCGTGCGCCGAGCGTGCTGTGCATTGCGGGAGTTGCAGTCTCAGCGCCTGCTGATTGTCTGCCAAACGGTGAGCAATGTCCTGGCCAGGACTACAACTCCCACCGTGCCCCGCGCTCCCTGTGCTGTGGAGAAGGTCGCAGGATAACTACGTCGCCGTCAGATAAGCCAAGCTGTCTTCCTGCTTTTGGCCTGTGAACATCAAATTCTTCACACAAGCGTGTGGGTTTCTCTGCCTGACATGAGACAAAAGGACGACTCGGATTTGTTTTTAAAAAAAGAACTGCCCCATCCCTCTCCTGATGGGTCCCAGCACTAGCCCTGCTTCTCCTTTCACCATTGACATCTGCAGAGATGCTTCACATGTGCAAGTATGTTGCTTGAGCTGTGCTGTTTTGTCATCTCTTGAATACCTGATCTGTGCTGGAGTACCTAATAAATACAAACCACTTCGTGCTTGCACTGGGAGTGTAAAATACCTTGGCATATTAACTGGAATTTTAGTTGAGATTGCACATTGATTATGTTTAAATGAGTGTCGCCTTTTTGATGTTATTTATGCCATATTTTATTATAATGGTGAATTCCCTTGAGTAGATAGTGATTCAAATTATATTGATATATCTTGCTAGTACAAAGAGCAGTTCTGTGACACTGGTTGGGCAAAGCTTCTCTCTGAAAGCAGCCTTTTACTCCAGCTATTTTCAGATTCATTCACAATTGCAGATTGCAACCGGTATGTGCAAAAATGAATGGGTTACAAATGTGCTTTACATCCCTGCACAAAAATCATCAGTTGTGGAAGTTAGCTAACAGGTTAACATTTTCTTCTATTAATTGTTTGCAGTGGTAAATTATTAATTAGGTCCTTTAAGCATGAAGATATTCCGACAATCAAATCACTTTATTTGTATTCTGATTGAGCTCATTGAATTTATAGTAGAGATGACAGTTTTTAGTTGGATTGAATATATACAATTGTAAATTTCTGATTGTCTTTTACATGTGATAGTTTTTATCGGGAGAGAATAACTGGAATTACTAATCTATTACACCTTCCCAATTGTATTTTGGAATATTAGGCACCTTAAGAAATGTGTCATACTACGAAAATATGATTTTTCTAAGTTAGTAATGAAGTGCTAAACATGCAACTTTTCCAGTGGTAAAAATTGTCAGATGTGAAAAGAACATTAGGATGTTTGTAAGATTTTTCTGTAATATTATTCCTCTAAAAATGAGAAAGAATTCTGCAGTAAAAGAAAAATGTCACTTATATCCTCATTCACTAGTTGTAAAACATTCATTAAACAGTTTTAAATGTTATAATTTAGAATCAGAAGTTGAGTTTATAATTTGACACGCTCAGTATATCTTAGGTTTCTAATGTGCTTACAAAGAGGAAGAATTCTGTTAAGTATTAATGAAAAGTCTCCAAAATGACCCTTTTTTTGCACTTGATCTTTTTCAGCTTCTGGCTCGTCTTGAGCGAATGGAGAGGAGGATGCAGCTGGTGAAGAAGGAGAATGAGAAGGATAAACATCGATTCATTCAAACTACTGAAGGGAGTGAGGAGAAGAATGCAACAGAACTGGAGAAAATCCAGTCAGAGCTGCAACAAACCACCCCAGAACAACTGCTGACTCAGTCACAGAGCAATCGGACAGAAACATACTCTGGGAAGGGTTCTAAAAGGTATTTTGATGCTTTGTACTCAAACAACCAACCAGTTCATTCATCGTTTTGCCCACAAAATACAAGATCAATCCACTTTACTGTGTATCCTGTGAAGCACTTTGAGACCTCTCAATGACATGATAAGACACTATATCAAATGCAAGGATTATCATTATTATAGTTTTACTATCTGGTACATCTGTACAAACTGGTAATGGAATGTTTTGGGGGAAGTTGTGAATTTTTTGTTTTTTTGTTCCTTGGTGTCTTGCTGCAGTGATAAGGCTGAATGTGTGACCCAAGCGTTGTTGGGGGAATGAACCTGTGTCACTGTGTAGAGTCGCATAAAGGGGACTGTATAATTGCAAGTTGTTGTTTGCAGAAAGATTTTGCTGAATTGCTGTTTAATGAAAATGAGGGGTTTCACCTCAATTATACTTATGAATGAAGCTTTTATAACCCTGTGTAGAGGAAGTTGCTGCATTACGGGATGTAAACACTTTTTACTAGTATGCTTGTCATCATTTATCTACAAATCTGCTTTTTAGACACACTTTATTTACTTGAATCTTATTTTAACTTCAGGAAATCTGTATTGGGAACAGCAGAAAGAAAAGCACCTGTAAAGAAGCTTGCAGCGGAATTCTCGAGAGTGAGGACAAAACTGACCAAATCCTCTCCATTCAGGGCAACTTCCAGCAGCCCTTTATCTGATAAAGTTTCAAAGCGAGAACTTCGAAGTAAAGAGACCCCAGAGAAATCCAAATCTCAGCCAGAGGGAATCTCCAAGCCTTCTGTCACATTAAAGACTTCAGCTCCAGCCAGTCAAGATCAGGCTGTTTCCAATGACCTAGAGGAAGAACCATATCTATGTACCACAGAGATGTACTTGTGTCGGTGGCATCAACGTCCGCCTTCCCCTCTCCGAGAACCTTCACCAAAGAAGGAAGAAACTGTTGCAAGTTAGTATAAAGAATCCGTTGCTTCAGGAATGGATCTTTTAATTCAGCTGTCAAGTAGGTTCATCCTAGCACCAGTAAAATAACAATGGTTCAAGAGAGCAGATGTGAAATTGATATTGAGCTCTTGAAATCATTTAGGTGTGACTGATTGTACACTGCATTACCGGAGTTTATTTTTTTATATTATTAAAGGCTCAGTTAGTGAGGCATCTACACAGTGTGAGACTGAGCCACTGAGGGGTGGGGGAGAAGAGAATCAGTCCTGCATGTGGACATTGGTCAGGACAGCATCAGGCAGATTTCTGATGCACATCACAGGTTATTGTCTGTTTATACTTGCTGTTAGGATTGTAGACAAGGAAGGGGGGGCTGCAGAATTTTTTTTGCAGTGGCTTCACTGTTGCTGCTGTGCAATTAACATTCTTATCAATATGTAACCATCTTTTCCCAATGGCTTCATTGATAGCGGAGAGGTGTGGGTGTTTTTATTACTACACCTCTGTAATGAATACTACACCTTTTTTACTACATCTCTGGTAAAAGATTAGCGGGTAAACCTAAAGTATTTTAGAAGCATATAAAGAATAAAACGTTAGTCCGAGGAAAGGTGGGACCGATCAGGGACCAAAAAGGAAATCTTCTTGTGGAGGCAGAGGGCATGGTTGACGTACTGAATGAATACTTAGCATCTGTCTTCACAAAAGAAGAAGATGCAGCCAATGCCACAGTATCAGAGGAGTGGGTAGAGAAACTGAATAGGATAAAAATAAACAGGGGAGGTACTAAAAAGGTTGTCAGTGCTCAAGGAAGATAAATCACCCGGCCCAGATGGCTTGCATCCTAGGTTACTGAGGGAAGTAAGGGTGGAAATTCGCCCACAAATATACTGTCAATTCACTTTACAGTCTATTCTGTGAAGCGCTTTGAGACGTCGAGAAGAGTGAAAAGCGCCATATCAAATGCAAGGATTATTATTATTATTAAATAGTGGAGGCTTTGGCCACAATCTTTCAATCCTCCTTGGATAGTGGAGTAGTGCCAGAGGACTGAAGGGTTGCAAATGTTACTCCCCTGTACAAAAAGAGGGAGAAGCATAAACCCGGGAACTACAGTCAGATTCGGCCTAATGTCAGTGGTGGGGAAACTTTTTTGATGAAGTAACGGAGTTGATGAAGTATATATGGATTTTCAAAAAGCGTTTGATAAAGTGCCACATAATAAGACTTGTAAGCAAAATTGAAACCCACGATATTAAAGGGACAGTAGCAGCATGGATACAAAATTGACTGGGAGACAGAAAGCAGAGAGTGGTGGGGAACGGTTGATTCTCTGATTGGAGGGAAGTATACAGTGGGATCCTCCAGGGGTCGGTATTAGGACCACTGCTCTTTTAATCTACATGAATGACCTGGACCTGAATATGGAATCATAGAATTATACAGGACAGAAGGAGACCGTTTGGCCCATCGTGGGGTTGAATTGGATAGCTCTTTGAAAAGAGCTATCCAATTCAACCCCACTCTTTCCCCATAGTCCTGCAAACTTGTCCTCCCCCCATAATTATCTACTCTCTTAAAAGTTGTTATCGAATCGGCTTCCACCAGCCTTTCAGGCAATGCATTCCGGATCCCAACTCACTTTGTGTAAAAAAAATATTTCTCCTTCCCTCCCCTCTGTTTCTTTTAACAACTATTTTATATCGGTGTCCTCGGGTTACTGACCCACCCGCCAGCGGAAATAGTTTCTCCTTGTTCACCCTATCGAATCCCCTCATCATTTTGAAAACTTCTATTAAGTCTCCTCTTAACCTTCTCTGCTCCAAGGAGAATAATCCCGGCGTCTCTCGCCTCTCCTGGTAACTGAAGTCCCTCATTCCTGGTACCATCCTGGTCAATCTCCTTTGCACCCTCTCCAATGCCTTGACATCCTTTCTGAAGTCTGGTGCCCAGAACTGAACACAGTCTCTCACTGAGGCCGAACCAGTGTTTTATAAAGGTTCATCATAACTTCCTGACTTGTGTATTCTATGCCCCTTTTATAAAGCCTAGTATCCTGTATGTTTTTTTTAACAGCTTTACCTACCTGTCCGGCCACCTTCAAAGATTTACTTATATGTATCCCCAGGTCTCTCTGTTCCTTCACCTGCTTTAAGATTGTACCATCAGCTTATATTGCCTCTCCTCATTCTTCCTCCCAAAATGCATCACTTTTAATTTTTCCACATTAAACTTCATCTGCCGCCTGTCTATCCATTTTACCAGTCTGCCTATATCCTCTTGCAGTCTGCTAGTGTCCTCCTCACTGTTTACTACTTTTCCAGCTTAGTATAATCTGCAAACTTGGAGATTGTCCTCCCTATACCCAAGTCCAGGTCATTTATATAGATCAAAAACAGCAGTAGTCCCAATACTGACCCCCGGGGGGCACCACTGCACTCTTCCCTCCAGTCAGAAAAATATCTGTTCACCACCATTCTCTGCTTTCTGTCTCCCAGCCAGTTCTGTATCGATGCTGCCACTGTCCCCTTAATACCGTGGGCTTCTGTTTTGCTTACAAGACTCTAATGTGGCACTTCATCAAGCACCTTTTGAAAATCCATATAAACTACGTCAACTGCACTACCTTCATCCACCCTCTCCGTTACTTCATCAAAAACTTCATAGGGAGTACAATTTCCAAGTTTGCAGATGATACAAAGCTAGGAAACGTAGTAAACAGTGAGGAGGATAGTGGCAGACTGCAGGAAGACTTAGACAGACTGGTGAAATGGGCTGATACATGGCAGATGAAATTTAATACAGAGAAATGTGAAATGATGCATTTTGGGAGGAAGAATGGGGAGAGGCGGTATAAGCTGATAGTACAATCTTAAAGGGGGTGAAGGAACAGAGAGACCTGGGCATTTACATAAGCAAATCTTTGAAGATGGACAGGTCGATAAAGCTGTTAAAAAACAGATAAGAGATCCTTGGCTTTATAAATAGGGGCATATAATACACAAGTCAGGAAGTTATGATAAACCTTTATAAAACACTGGTTAGGCCTCAGCTAGAGACTGTATTCAGTTCTGGGCACCACATTTTATGAAGGATTTCAAGGCCTTGGAGAGGGTGCAAAGGAAATTTACCAGGATGGCACCAGGAATGAGGAGCTTTAGTTATGTGGAGAGACTGGAGAAGCTGGGATTGTTCTCCTTGGAGCAGAGAAGGTTAAGGGAGATTTAATAGCAGTGTTCCAAATTATATGGGGATTTGATAGAGTGAACAAGGAGAAACTGTTTCCAATGGCGGGTGGGTCGGTAACCCAAGGACACCAATTTAAGATGGTTGTCAAAAGAACCAGAAGGGAGATGAGGGAACATTTTCACACAGCGAGTTGTTCGGTTCTGGAATGCACAGCCTGAAAGGGTGGTGGAAGCAGATTCGATAACAACTTTCAAGGGAGGAGTGGATAGATATTTGGGGAGGACAAGTTTGCAAGGCTATGGGGAGAAAGTGGGGAAGTGGGACGAATTTGGATAGCTCTTTTAAAAGAGCCAGCAAAGACACAATGGGCTGAATGGCCTCCTTCTGTGCTGTATAATTCTATGATTCTATGAGTGAATCTTGTTACCAAAAGCTCTGTATAAAATAGTAACTCAGCTTAGTAATTCAGGGATGTAATTCATGCAGGAGTTTAGATGGTAGGTAGGTTAGCCAGAGTTCTGTAGGATATGGCCTTCCAGAGATTTGAGATCCTCCGACTTTGTGTGTGGTGTGTTGGGGGTTATCTCCAATTGGTTCAGAGGTTGAGAAATATTTTCATAAGGTATAAGACATTGTGTTTATAAATCACTGAATTTGAGAATAGTATCAGAGAAAAACTAAAGCAGACCTCTGAGCCTGCATAACCATGTCAGGACTTGTAACTAGGGCCAATAGAAAATTGCAGAAATATTTGACAAACATGGGGGGAAATTTGACAAAGCTTCTGGGAAATTGCGAGGCGTTAATTGGTACTATTGAGTGGCAATTTTACTGCCAACCTACATTTTTGTACCTACATGATTGTTTGGGGGAGGCATGATGTGAGGCCCCGAGCTTGAGAGAGGAGTGAAAAGCTGAGTGAAGTGGTGGCTGGGAACATGTTGATTTCATTCACTTTGTGCCCCGTGACTAGAGACGTTAAAGCAAATAAAAAATGGCCCAAAACTTATCTTATAGGCCGGTGGCCGGCCACAATCTACCATCACACTGAGCTCAGTTAGCAGCGGTGGCAGCTTGACAGTCTAGCAGCTATAGTATATATAATTACCAAACGTTAATGTGCTTAATTTCATAATTATGGGGTTCAATCACACGCCCCGGCCCCGCCCACTCACACACACGGCCCCCCGGTCCCACTCACACACCCCCAGCCAGACCCCGCCCACTCACTCCATGGCCTGGCCTCACCTACACATCTGGACTGGCCCCGCTCCCTCGCACACCCTGTCCGGACCCCGCCCACTCATGCTCCTTGGCTGGGCCCCGCTCACGCACACACCTTGGCCGGGCCCTGCCCACTCACGCACTCTGGTCTGATGCTCCAGCCACTCACACACCGTGGCCTGACCCCGTCCACTCACACACCCTGACCGGACCACGCCCTCTCACACATCCCGGCTTGTAACCCATAAAGTCTGTGTTGGGGGGGTGTTGCAATGTTGCATGAGATGTTAAATGAGAATGGTTCATCTGTTCAGGTGGATGTTAAAGATAGAACTATTTGGGGGGAAAAAAGGATGTTTCCCTTTCCTGGGCTCCTGGCCAACAATCCAAATGAAATTGGTTATTCACTTCATGGCTGTTTGTTGGACATTGCTGTCTGCCAATTGGCTGCCATGTTCTTCCACAGAATAATCACTATACATTACAGTTATAATCCTGTGAAGCACTTTGATATCTGTTGATGTGAAAGGTTCTAAATCAAATGTAAGTATTATTATTAACTCTTTGTTTTTTGTGTGCAGTTCCATCCTGGAAAGAATACTCGGCAGAGCCCCTTGTAGACATCCAACCTGATGAAATAATTGAGGTATGGTAACAGAACATTAATATTGTTTGTATTCTATTTTTATTTAACTCTAATATGCCCATTTATTTCCCATGATGAATCAGAAGATTGCTTTCCAGCTCTGGTTGCTAACTACATTCAGAGTTTCCAATCCCTGCCCCTGACTATGAGTTGATTATCTCAACCAGAATATCCAGAATGCCCAGTTGCTGTGCTCTGAGTTTGCTGTATTCCCAAAAATATCCCAAATTTTAAGGATTAAGAAATTTGCATTTTCTGATTGCAAACATAGACTGAAAGACTTCAATCCTGATCCAAACAATTCTTGCTGAAATCTAGCTAGTTGCATAGGAATTGGTGGAATTGGGGGATGCCCAAAGGAGGCAGTCCTCGGGTGGGGGTGACGGGAACCAGAAAGTTAGCCAGAGCTTTGTAATGGGTTTCAACATCTAATCGATAGCGAGCAGTTATCACAGCTTGTGGTATCTGGCTTTTCCAACTTAATAAGCATCATTCATCACTAGTTTCAAAAATGGCTGAATTCAACCGAAAATTTGTCACTTTCCGAATAAGAGGATTTTCTGTTCATCTCTCCTCCACCTTCAACTCATTTGCCCCCCCACTCTGAATTGAAGAACCAGCTCCCACTCCACCTTCTTAAGGCACCTCCACTTCCTTAAATTCCAATCCTCCACACCACAGGACAGGTGACACAGTGACATTGCAGTTCACTGCCATATGTAGTTCAAGCACCTGCAAATTTATCCCCTCCTAACTACAATAGCAACTTGCATTTATATAGAGCCCCTCACACACGGTAGCATCCCAGAGTGCTTGACAGTGGCGGAGTGTGACTCCGAGCCCGGGGGAGGTGGCCATAGGCATTGGTCAAATAGGAAGGTCTTCAGGCACGACCTAAAAATAGGGAAAGAAGGGGCAAGGTGGAGGGATAGAGGAAGAGTGTTCCAGAGTTTCGGGGCGTAGTGGCTGAAAGCGCGGCCACCAGTGGTGGAACAGAGAGCACAAGGAGCATGCAGAAGGCCGGAGCCAGTCGAGCGGAAGCAGCGGGTTATGGGTTAAGCAGGTTGGAGAGGCAGGGAAGTGCCAGGGCATGAAGGGATTCAAAAACGAGTGTGAGGATCTTGAAATCGACCCATTCGGTATGGGGAGCCAGTGAAGTCTCCTCATTACTCCCCGGAACTGGTGTGATGGGTGTACGGAGTTTAGTATAGGTAAGTATGCAGGCGGCAAAGTTTTGGATCAGTTCGATCCTGTATATGGTGGAGCTGGGGAGACTGGCAAAGAGGGTGTTTGAGAATTCATGACCAGTATTTCGGCTGTGTCTGGGGTAAGGAACAGGCAGAGGCGCGCCATGTGGCGGAGAGGTCCAGGAGGATGAGGTGAGGCAGAGGGAGCCTTGGTCAGAGAGAGAGGATGTCATTTGTGACCTTGACAAGTGCCTTGTCTGTGTTGTGAGCAGTCAGGGTGAAAACCAGACTAGACCGGCTGGAGGAAGGAATGGTGGGAGAGGTGGGAGCAAAGCTGGTCAGTGACAACGTGTTCCAGAGCTCTGGCCAGGAAGGACAGGTTGGAAATGGGTCAGTAACTTGTGCGGTTGGAGGGTCAAGGGAGTTCTGTGGAGTCCTGTAGCTCAGTGGTTAGAGCACTCGCTTTGCAAGCGAGAGACCTAAGTTCAATTCCAGGCAGAGGGTGAAACCTTGGGCAAGTTTCCTTACTCCACACAGAGCCTAATAATAATCCCTCCAAAACCCCAAAACAATAATAAATTGGTCATTTTCAATCTAAGATTATTTGTGGGACATTGCTGTGCGCAATTGGCTCCCTAGTTAACCCACAAATATACAGTCAATTCACTTTACAGTGTATTCTGTGAAGCGCTTTGGGACGTCCTCCCGACGTGAAAAGCGCTATATCAAATGCCAGGATTATTATTATTATTATTAAGGGTGGTTTTTTTTTGAGGAGGGGAGTGATGAAAGTGGTTTTAAGGGGAAGTGGAACGGAACCTGAAGAGAGTGACTGGTTGACTGTGTCGGCTAGCAGAGGGGAGAAGAGGGAGTTGGATGACCGAGCAGCCGGGTGGGGAGGAGGTTGAGGCAGCAGGTGGTGGGCTTCATCGGGGAGATGGTGGTTGAGAGGGAGGTGGGAGTAATTGGGGCAAAGGAGGGTAGGGAGGGAGGAGTGGTAAGGGCCATGGTGGAAGAAGAGGGGGTGCAGACGGTCTGGGGGGTGGAGAAGGGGGCGTAGGGGAGGAGAATGCAGCCAAGCGGATGCTTTCAATCTTTGACACGAAGATGTCTAGGACCTCTTTGCACTTGGTATTTGAGGTGAGGATGGAGGCAGTTGGGGGAAGGGGTGGGGTACGTGGTGGATGGTGGAAAACAGGGCCATTTGGGTTGTTTTTCGCCTCCAACATGGTTTTGGAGTAAATGGTAGTTTTGGCCTGCGAGGGGGAGAGAGAGAGTTGAGGAGACCCTCAAGCCACAGCTGCCGGTGGATTGTGAGGCTGAATTTTTGCCACCTGTGCACAAGTGTCTGGGTTTCAGTTTTGAGGGAGTGGAAGGTGACTTATACCAGTGGGAGCGGAGGTGACTTATACCAGGGGGAGCGGAGGTGACTTATACCAGGGGGAGCGGAGGTGACTTATACTAGGGGGAGCGGAGGTGACTTATACCAGGGGGAGCGGAGGTGACGTATACCAGGGGGAGCGGAGGTGACGTATACCAGGGGGAGCGGAGGTGACGTATACCAGGCGGAGCGGAGGTGACGTATACCAGGGGGAGCGGAGGTGACGTATACCAGGGGGAGCGGAGGTGACATACCATAGGAGCGGAGGTGACATACCAGGTACCAGGGGGAGCGGAGGTGACATACCAGGGGGAGCGGGTAGATTTAGAGACAGACTTGGATTTCGGGGTGTCAGGGAGTTGAGGGTTGTGGAGTGGTGATCGTTTTGCAGCTTGATGATTGCATCAGGATCGCTGCGGGTAAAGGTCAGAGGGAGAAGAGATACGAGGAAGCGAGGGCGTTTGTGAGGGACGCGGGTGGAAGCTTTTTGCAAGGCCGGAAAAAGATGGTGAAGGGTTTGGAAGAGGGGAGGGGGATGCAGGAGGAGAAGGAGATGAGGAAATGGTCGGAGATGGCCTTGTCTGTGATGGACAGATCGGAGAATGTCAAGGCCGTCAGTGATAAAGAGGTCGAGGGGGTGATCACGGTTGTGGGTCGGGGAGTTGATGTGGAGGGTGAGGTTCAGTGTGGACAGGAGGGCACTGAAGTCGGAGGAGATGGGGCAAAGGGAGTTTAGGTGGAGGTTGAAATCACCCATTATGATCAGTTGGTCAGTGCAGAGGCAGAGGGATGAGAGGACAGACGAGATGTCATGGATGAAGGAACCAGGCGGTTTGGGAGGAGGATTTTGAAGGAGAGGGAGGGATGGTATAGGATTACGTGTTCAGATGAGGGGAAGGAGCCGGAGGAATAGGAGGATAGAGCGAGGGAAATTTGGAAGATGAGGGTCACTCTGTCGCTGCATCGGTTTGGACGGGTGGGGGTGTGAAAGGTGGGAGGTTGGGAGGCTTCGATCGGGGGCAGGGTCACTGGGGGACAGCCAGGTTTCTGTGAGCCCAAGAATGTTGATGTTCTCATCCAGGATGAGGTTGTAGTTCATGAGGGATTTATTTAAGCGAGAGTGAACATTTTGGAGGGAAATGGTCAGGCTGGAGCAGAGGGAAGCAGTGATGGGGTCCAGAAGAGTGAAGGCAAGGAGGGCGGTGGGAGAGAAGGACTGATTGGGATTAGAAGGGCGAGAATTTTCAGGGTTGGAGGGATGGCTCGGGTTGGGCTGGCAGCCAAGTCATGGATGCAGAGACCAGGTACAAGTTGTTCAGTGGGATATGGTCAGCCCTGGGGCATGGCAGGGCCTAGAGCACACAGCACATAGGTATGGTGGGGTCTAGGGCACACAGCACATAGGAATGGCGGGGGCGAGGGCACACAGGTATGGCGGGGGCTAGGGCACACAGGCAGGGCGGGGGCTAGGGCACACAGCAAACAGGCATGGCGGGGGCTAGGGCACACAGGCATAGCGGCGGGAAGACTCTCATGGCTTTGTTTTGCCCCAAACCAGAGAGAAAGCAGGTGGTGGATGGGTTGTAAGGGAGGAGGACAGCGAAGAGTTGAAAAACTGGCATGCGGAAGTTACATCATGCAGGCGGTTTGGGTCGTTGGTCCAGGAGGGAGATTTCAAAATGTTATCTCGGCGCATGGAACCTCCTTCCCTGGAACACCAAGCCCATGCCCCCCCCTGATCACTGGCCTCAGCTCGGCCCCTCCCCGGGGGCTGACTGTTTGCTGACCCGAGGCCTCAACTGCCCCATCACCCACTCTTCCCCATCTCCAAAAGACAAACACCCCTTCCTTCATTCACATCCTTATCTTTCTATCTCCCCTCCAGCCTCCATGGTCAATTCTGTCCCAGAGCCTAAAACACTCCCTACCCACCCTTCGAAGCCCTCCGCCAATCGCATTTCCCTCCAAAATGTTCACTCTCGCTTAAATAAATCCCTCATGATCTACGACAACATCCTGGATGAGAACATCAACATTCTTGGGCTCACAGAACCCTGGACCATTCCGATCTCGCCACTCGTGTCTTTGGCACAGGGCAAGGTTGGTCGGCTCTCCCCGGTCCTGCTCCTCTTCTCCGATGCCTCCTGGTTCCCGTGGCCACTCGCCTGCTCTCATCTGTACATACGACGCAAACCCATGTTTTACTCCAAGTCTACCCTGGAGACAAAAAAACAACTCCTCGCTCTTGTTTTCTACCGGACGTCATCTCCCCTGCTCCTCTCCACCACCAGCTCAATCTCTCCCTCCACTCTCTACCCTCAATCCTTGTCTTGGATGCCAAATGTGAAGAGGTCATGGACTTCGTCGTATCAAAAATAGATAACATCCATTTGGCTCCATTTTCCTTCTCCATGTCTCACCACTATTTCCAT